AGGCATCCGTCGCATTTTTCTATGAAGCTCAGAGATGGAACCATCTATCTTGCTAATGTTTACAGCGACTTTATAATCAAACGGTTACTTTTAGCTCACAAATAGTAACAATCAAATTGGGACCACATTAGTTAGCATAAGCTTGAAAAGCTGGGGAAAAAGTAGTTTATACAAAAAGTTTTTCATAAATATTATGAGTACATCACAACTATTGCACTTTCAGGCCTTCTTAAACGTGTGTTTATCCTGGTTTTAAGACGTCAATTTTTTTGTTCCCTTGGCAAGTAGAAGCCACTAATACGTCAGAAGTTTTCAAATATTAGGCTGGAAACTAAGTTTTGCAACTGGTTTTATAACTCCGCTCTCTTTGGATATGGCGCACTCAAACTTCGGCGTTATATAGAAGGCAATGTGAGCTACAAGCGAGCACAAATTGTATAAATTTTGAACACGAAATAGAAAAGTTTCAGGCGTTTTTCGAAAACTAGTGAAATTTGTGAATTTTTGGGGTTTCAAGCTAAAATGAAGCCTTTGGCAGCCTAAACCATGCGCAGTAATCGGGATTCGTCTACAATTTATTGCTGGAGGTTGACTCCTTTGGCCTAGTGAGAAAGAAACAAAATCTAGGGGCATGTCGAGATTTGGCGTCCTCATGAAGTTGAACGAGTCGATGTACGCAAGAGCTGCTGCGGACGACCGTCAATGACTAAAGAGTCCGAAGCTCAAATTCCGCCGAGACTTCACATAGTAAGGTTATTTGAGCTGCCAAACGCGAATATCATATTCATTTGTTGAATCAACGCCTTTTTCCTTGTTTAGGGTGAGACCCCATATCGTACACCTACAGTAATCCTACAAAAAAGCCCTTACCACGCAATTTCACTATCATTTTCGTGATCAGCATGTCGGATAACACCCCTATGCCAAGTTTCAGCCAAATCCGTCAAACTTTAAATTTTTCCCTTTCATACCGTGCACCTATCGTAACCCTCACTGCACGTAAGAATTTGGTAGGACAGCAGCTGCGCTTATAGCTTACGTAATAACCAACGCAGTGGCAAAATTTGAGTGCGCCATGTTGAGTGAGAGAGAAGTTATGAGACCAGTTGCAAAACTTAGTTTCCAACCTAATAAATAACTTCATCTAAAACCTTTGAGGTGCCTCCATCTACTAAGTATGGGGATTGCTTGGGTTAGAGAAGCTTGAAGAAAATCTTGTCACAATCCCCAACTTTTGATTATTTTAGCTTGTTTTGCTGAATCCAAAATGTTGTTAGCAGACCAGCATGTAGCAAAAACAAACTTTTTACAAGTTCACCAATTTTGACAACAAGTGTGGATACACAGCCAGAATTGGAGGCCTATAAACTTGATCGTGTGCCATACGTGCATTCTAGTTTAAATAGGAACATATGAGGGTAGGTTTGATCTGCCCCCCTACAAGAAAGCAGTCATATCAGAGACTTCCCAAAAGGAAGATTGAAAGTGCTTGGGTAACTGTTATGTCCTGGAGGGCATTACTATGAAATACCGTGTTCCGTACTTAATATTTGTCTGGACATTGTTTTTGAGGACAAGTAATGTCAGTTTATTCATAGCAGACTTTTGCTAACGAAGTTGGCGCTCAGTAATTCTGAAACTTACGTTTAAAACTTATGATTTTCAAGCAATTGAGTGTAGGACAAGCAGAAGAAGCATTAGAAAAAGGAAGAGCAATGTTATTAATTCTAAATATGCATATATGTCGCAAATTATTGTTAGCAGCATGACATAAAGATTAGCCATGTAGTGCCTTTTTGTATAATACATTGGGTAAAAACTATCTTTAATGAGGAATTGCATAATGATTATATACGTTATTATAAAAAAACATTCCAGCAACTTTGTCCCTAGTCATTTATATTATAGTATAGGAGCTTCAGTTAGAATAAAACATCTTTTAGCGTCTCTCGTTTTACCTATAGTGCACCTTGTCCGGTGGTCTGCTCTGTTACAAAGTCTAGAAATGTTTATTTAAAATTATGGCACCATCACTACCTATCCAACCTATTGAAGCTCACTGTGGCATGCATATCCTCATAATTTACGCTTGACTGAGCAGGATAAGTACATATGAAAGCCTAACCAGAATAGCAACCTTCTTCTGAGCGAAGTTGTTTCCTTCGATTTACACGTCACCAAAGCAATTGAGCTGAAATCTCGCCTACACATTGAATATTCATATGCACGTCTTCTTTCGTATCGAGCAACATCGACGTAGCTAGATTATAATAACGATCCTTCACATATCAAACCAGGTCGGCCATTTTTTAATTTCATTGTGAGCAAAAGAAAAAAGCAGACGACATAGACAATGAAGTTTTAAGTTTTGAAAATCTTTGAAAATACTGAAAAAATGAACTTTCTAGGTGCGTTAATTGTCTATGGTAAAACTGTCCAGACTAACATGGATGTGTCTGCTCAGCCCAATTAGATCTTATGTTCGACTCCAGGTAGCATTTCATTGCTCTTTCTCCTGTACATACTTTGGACGCAGTCAGACATTTTGCTCTCAAACTCCAGATACATTCGAAAAAAGGAAGTAGCACTTCAAAAACAGAATTTTTGTTCTTTTTGTTTGCCATATCTTATCAAAAACTGTTGGACTAAGTCTTTGCTCACACTCAAGCTCTGCCTATCCCGTGCATTTGGCAGGCAGTCCATGAGCAGCGAAGAAACTTATTCTAATCACTACTGACATTTCACTCCTGCTTGGAAGCGTTCTTTCAAAGGACCAAGCAAAACAAACACTACCTTTTGCCAAGAATTATTTTTCTTCAAAGGCTGCCCTCAAGTACCATAAAAATGGTAAGTTCTTGCTTGTGATATTTTGGCACCTGAGGCAGTTTATCTACTTTTATCATCTATCTGAGGACTATAACTTGTAAAGTTGATCCGCAACACGCTTTCACTTTAATCAGTCGCTCAGTCGATTGCACACTTCTTACGGCTAACAATATACTGGCAGTGTCTTTTGCTGCTCTTGTCTTTTGCTTCGCAGCTTAAAGTAGAATCCATATCGGTGCCACAACAGCGACGCCATTTAAAGGAGAATTCAACATACTTCTTTCTTATTCTCCTAATTTTCTGAATGGTTTTGCGCTGTTTATGAAAGAGGGGCGAACGTCTAGGCATTGGCATATAGTACATTCATAAAATCGTATGATCGCGTGCGTCGCCTACGCAGTCGGCAGCGCACTTTCTTGGGTTTCATGTCTACTCGAATGGGGCATGCTTATGAAAGGTTTCAGATACTTGTGCTTACTGAGCTGAGCAACAAAAGCGAGTTTTATAGTTAGTCTTCATATTGTTGTAACCTTTGACTGAGCGCAAAGATGCAGTCAACTTGCCGTTACGATCTCTATACCTTTAGTATAACTTAAAAATGAGAATACACTCATGGCAGCACACGCTGTCTATCAATGATTTCTATATCTGCTGCTCATTCGTGTTCTCCGAAAGTATTACTTCAGAGTTTGCAATCTTTTTTCTCTTTTAACTTGTCTCATCGTTGATCGAATGTTTCCTCATTCATTTAATTCGTGTGCCCCCTCGAGTTTTGATTTTGCACATTTTGCATCATGACTAATTGCAATATGCATAATCTAATTCTGGTATTTTGTTGTTGCTAAAAGTTTCTTATAATATTGCTTGATGAGAGGATTTCGATGAAAGGATAAAAATCTAGTACCTCATGGGTAGAAGTTAAACGTAGCTTACTGAAGTCATTGATGACAACAAAATGGTGCGAGATAAGTTTCATGGGATTAAGGGCGCACACAAATCAAAACCTGAATGGAAAACCATTTGATCGACGATGGGGAAAGGTAAAAGAAAAGAAAAAGTTCGTAAAGAAAGAAACAAATACACGCGAAGAACACGAAAGTGCAGCAAATTCAGAGATACATCGGTAAACAGCGAAACTGTGCTGCCGTGGGCGTATTTTCACTGCGACTTCAGCGGCGTAGTATGAAAGAACCCTAAGTTGGACTGACACAAAATAATTGAAGAAAATGGAAGAGGAAGAGACGCCAAGGTGAGGCACTGCTATTCGTAACCTTTCGGCTGGCAACGCGCCAACAGTTAGGGGCCGGCGGCGATCAAAGGACAAGCGCTTCGAGTACCGTGTATTTCTACGAATAGCGCCATAATCGAGAGGCGGTGTTATTGGCTAAAATATTTCGGGATTGCTTCCATTGCTAGCCGCACTTAATTAGTATATGCAATTTCGATGGTACAGCACCTGCATGAAACTCGAAAAAAAGGGTCCCAATGGCTGTTACCTTACCTCAATTTTTACATAAATGCATGTTTTTGAACGATTTTTTGTAATACGTTTACTTATGTTTCTTGAAGCCAATTTACTAGATAAATCGCGTAATCAAGCTTAGGCTCTTCTCTCCTTTTCCTCCAAAACTCAAACACCATTTTTCAGTCGAACCTTTGTCTTGAGCATATCCTCCAGATTGACTTATGGCAAAATAATAATTACAGTTTTTTCTACTGCAGCGAGTCATGTGCCCAAACGTGCTTGCATTTGACTGACATTCCATTGGTTATTAACGTGAAATAAGATTTGCACATATAAGAAGATAGCAATGATACCTTAGCCAAATAGAGGCGAAGTTTAGCGTTAGGATTTTCTTCCACAGGTATATAGAAGCCTAGCGACACTTCTACTAGCCATGGCTTTAGTGGGTGTAATCTTTCTTGTTTAAGTATTTTGGCCATACGTTGTACAAATTTCCTAGCAACTTTCCCGCTGATCCTATCGGCAGTCAATAGGGCAAGCTAAGTTCAATCTCATCAAACTTTTTTTACCTCATAGCTGACTTTTCGATAGCAGCTCGCTCTCGGGCAGCTATTTCCACCTGCTCAGCCACACCCGCTAAGAACTTTCTTCGTAAGCTTAGCCAACGCTAAAAACTGCTATTAGGCTATTGTTACTAGCTAATGTTGCTATGTACACATCTCACTACCAACATGGGACAAAATGGGATACATCGCCGTGTGAGCTGGTGAGTTCATACGGTTATTAGATCATTCACTTGAACTTTTTTTGTTTTGGTACAAGGTTTGTGTACAGTACTGTGAAAGTTTCGAGCACTCTCTGCTGGTCATTGAATTTTAGAAAATGATTTCGTTTTTTAGGCATGCGGCGACCTAAACATCAAAAAATTGGCTGATATGAAGTAAAGATTGCGATAAAGCCATCAATTAAGACCAAATATTATACTTTAGATGCATTTTTATTTATTGCGTTCATAGCACAGTGAACACGAACTGTAACAGAAAGTCATCACATGGCCTGAGTCCTGCCCAAATTAGATAAGAGAGAAACTCTTACAGTGTGGTGTAAATTCATCTATCGCTCTTCAATATTGTAGGATTACGGTGAAAACTTCGAAGTGGGTTTTGAGCCATCAACGGCTATATTTTGAACAGAATGGATACTCATTAAGCTGAGAATTTTTATCATTAGGCTAAACTGAGTCGCTGACTATGGATTTAAAAATATGCTGGAGTTCCTTCTAATTTTGTGAGTCACTGGATATGACTTTAAAAATATGCTGAAAGTTTCTTCCGCAATTTCACGGAATCAAGATCGATCGGCTCTATTATACACTGAATTTAATTTGAAGCCTACAGCCTACATGGTATCTAAAGCTTAGCAGGCTTGGTGGGGAGAGAAATATTAACGCATAGAAAGCGTACTTACTTTAAGGACATCATCTATAAGTAGGCATTGGAAGAAATTCTGGATTTTTCACTCATCAACTTATGCGTCTAGAGGTAGTGAAAAAATAATAAAAATGGCAAACTCTGCTTTCTGTTAGTCCTTCTAACCCAGAGTATTTTTTAATATATGCATATCTATTATATTAATATATGATATCAGTTGATATTATTAATATTAATTATCAATATCATTATATCAATAGCAATATATCAATATCAGTACACTAATACTATTATTATTAATCATCATATCTAAATACATGCATTCCAAATTCCTACATGTGTGTACTCCTTGTACACACGTACTAGTTCCCAAAAAATTCTATTAAATGAGCCAAAATCAATTTTTCCTTTTCAACTTTTCGGAAGATCGAATCTACTTCAAGTAATAACTTTCTTGGCGATATTGAACTTTTTGAGCAATTCCGTGGAGCTGAATAAAATTTTTTTGCTGCTGTCAAAGCCCTCTGCGAACTTTTTGCAGGTGGTACAATATCAGAAACAATTGTAATCTAATCTATTCGAATCGATCTTCCATATTGATATTTTCACAAATCTATTGTCCTGTTTTCTTTTTCGAACGTCTCAATCAAAATTGTTAGAATGTAAAATTATTGATCCTAGGCAAAAGAACTAGAAATAAACGACAAGAGTCGTCACAACGAAACAATAGCTCCATAAATCTTAACAACTGTTCAACAAGATAGCGTAAGTGATATCCATCAATTACTCCAGGATCAGGAATGCACTTTGGCTTTGTAGGTTCCGGTTTAACAACTTGTCAGAGTGCACTGAACAGCAAGATAAGTGTAAATGAAATGTATTAACAGGTTTGATGAATGTGTTTGCAAATAGTCGAGAGTCTGGGTTGAGGATGATTGTGCTAAATTTTCTAAGCTGGAAGGAGACTGATTTTTTTGTAGAAATTTTTTGTTCTATTTCATCAATTTAACTTTGTCACAAATTTTGTGATTTATGAAAACACAAAATTATAGCAAAATTGTGCAGCATGATAATATAGATGATAATAACATGTCAGTATGAATAGGTTTGTGCATCAATTATCAATCACAATGTTTTCATTGACATAGCCTGCTAGTCACAGGGCTCGGCACGAGGTGGCTAGATGAAAATGCAAAAAACGAAGTCTCCCTTGAGTTTTCCGAAGTTTACGAACTCCCCTTTGACCCTAAACCATAATCTCTAAAAAATCTCCAGAAAACAAACGTCGGCCAAAAAATAAATAAATAAAAACGTCGCCAATTTTGTGTCTTTTCGGCCACAAAAACGAAAGACCCTTTGCTTTTTGTCCTAATAATGACATCCAGCTTGCTTATAAGCCACCTGTGCCGAGCCCTGGTTAGTCATTTGAATCTCTTCCAAAAAATGTTTATAACATTATCAAAAGGTGTGCGAATACAAAACTATATTCAAAAATTTGCGGCTTTAATCGCACAACGTCAAGAGATACTTTTATTCTCTGATTTCAAAACCTTTAAAACACTTTATCTTTCAGGAAAAAAAATACATAGTCCTGTTTTCATGCTAAAAGATCAGACCTGTTGCACAGTTACATTTTTTCCATACAAACAGCTTCGCTATGTTTCATACTTTCAGGTTAGATAATAATTTTTTTTGCATACAAAATTTCCTACAACAAAGGCTCTTGTTGGCAAAAAAGTTTGCTTTTGTTGCTTTTTCTTCAAAATTTATAAATATTAATAAGCTATGAGAATACAAGATGATTGACAGAAAATGGAATGTCTGCAAGGCATTATTCATAAGCTTAGCATTCTTTTCCTTTCTCACTCAATATATGCATTGCAAGCTGCGGCGATAGTCTATATGCAAAAAATTGTCCTCCGTCATTATCAGAGGTTTTATGGAATGTGATCGAGGTCAGGTCATCGTAAATGATTAGGTGAAGTAGTAACAAGCATCTAGAATTGTCTACGGTAAGTCTTAACTACCAATTTTTGGAGCGAAAATATTTTTTTTTCAATCTGACATTTGTGGCAGTTTTGAGGTACATGTTTCCTTAATTAGTTTTCATGTTCATCATTCCAATTTTTTCTATAATTTTGATTAATTCTGTGAAAGCTTCATTCAGCTCTTCTTATCAACCGCTTGACAAAATTCTTTGATCTCACGAATGCTTCAGCGCTAGCCTAAACTTCTCTCAAGCGTTATCGTTGCATTATCATGCGGACAAAGTCAATAAGCAGATGCAAGCCTTCTCCTTATTCAGAAACTGTTCAAAAAGCAATATTCAATGATTATGATTTATTGGAAGTAAGTGATTCAATCGATTTTACTTTCACTCATTGCTTACGAAGTGGAAGTTTGGTTGAAGAGCATTCTAGAATGAAAAAATTAAGTGATCAGTAGAAAAGACATGCTAGACATGCTCATTATAAAGTTCTCCTCTACTAATTCCTTCTTCCTCTACTACCATAACAAGTAGTATAGGTCTCATTAAGATTAGTTTGTCGATATTACATGGATGTTTTTGTTTTTTTCCAAAAATGAATTGCTTTGCTGTGCTAAGCTATGGTTTATATAAATGAGTTGTGATTTAGATGTGATTTTTGATGAAAATTTTTCAACGAATAATCTCAACTTGCCTTGTCTCTCCGGTTCATCATTTTGTCTCGTTCAAGATCTGCTATCTCTTCAGTGCAACTGCACCAAATGGCATATTTTATTTATTTATTTATTTATTTATTTAAAATACACACAAGGTGCTCCAAAACAAGGCAAAAAAAAACCAACAACCAACTAATAAAAAGTATTCATGAATGATTAAGTAGACAGGTGGAAAAACCCTTCGTTGGACCAACACGTCGTTCTCCTTCTTCTGTAGGTGAGGATACCTCCGCCGAGTTCCTGGTCCCTTACCCGAACGCAGTGAAAGGTCGAAGGTACCAGGGCTGGCTGACCACTTAACCTTGACGGACGAATCCGCCACGGACCCTGGGCGAGCGGGAAGGGGGGTCCTCAAGGAAGAGGGCTCGCCAACTATTGACCTCCTCAAACGGCTTCCCAAGCGAAGAGCTGTAAACCTGTCCGAACGGTTACAAGTAAGGCAGAAGCAATACTTACAAGATTCCGAACTTATCACTGACTTCTTTATACAAAAGGTCAGTAGAGCCATAAAAACTTGTCAAAAGTGCCAAAAAAAATTTTTTCATAATTTTTCCGAAGTCATACATCTGTAATTTTTAGAATCTGCAAAACATCAATCGAAGAAAGTCTCTTCCGAAATTCAGCGGAAGTGCTACAAGAGGTAATATGTCTTGGTAGGAGGCTGAGCCACCGTGCAGTACGACACACAAATGAGTTGAAAGCTATAGAGTAAAATTTCTTTCCTAACTTTCGATAACTCAACCCGAGTCCGCCTGTACGATCCCCACACGGCCTGAATATCCAGTACTGACTTGGTTTTAACCTCGTCTCAAGCCGTAAGATCCGGAAGCAAAATATTAGGTCATTGCAGACTCGCCTGTACTTCAAACTATGCAATTTTAGCGCAGATAATCTTTCCTTATACGGTGGTAATGAGCGAGGATAATCAGGTTTTGGATAGCATCGGTAGTAGACAATTCTAGTAAAAGTTTTTTGCACTTTTTCGATCTTCTCGATGCTTTTCTTCAAAAACGGGCTCCAAACAGGGGACGCATATTCTAACTGGGGCAAGACATAAGTTTTATACAGTTTAACCAAGAGACATGGATCATTACTGTGGGTACTTCTTAATATGATAAAAAGAACAGATAGGGCTTTCTTAGACACTGAATCCAAATGGGAAAAAAATTTCAGTTGTTCGTCCACGATGACGCCCAAATCCTTAATGCTGTTGCAGTTCTCAAGAGGGATACCATCATAAAAATAGGTGCAGCCTTGAGAGTTGCCTAAATGCAGCACTTTTGATTTGGCAGGGTTGACAGGAAGGCTCCATGTTTTAGACCAAGAGATCATTCTTTCGATTGAGGTAGAAATTGCACGACAAGCTTCAGATTTTTCTTTCTCATCGTAGCAGAAATATATTTTAATATCGTCAGCAAACATCTGGATCTTGATACCTGGATGGACTTTCAAAAATGAAGGTAAGTCTGCTGTGTAAGCAAGAAAAAGAAGAGGCGAAAGTAAGCCGCCCTGAGGCACTCCACTAACACAACGAAATCGACTATTTTACCAAAAATTCTGAAGCTTTATAAGTGTTTATTTATGTAACGAAACATGTGGTTTTCCTTGTAGCAATTTGCATTGGATTCTTACAGTTTTTAGGATCAAAAATACGGCCGGCAAATTTGGCCCCTAGAGTAATTACTGTTAATCATTTATCATGCTCTTGTAGCTTGAGAATAATTGGTGTTTGAGTTGAATTTCTTAATTCCCATGTTAACATAGATTGCTACCTACTTTTCATAAAGTTGAATAATGCTACGCAGGTCTTTATCTTTTTTTTCTCTAAGCTTAAGTTGAACAGCACCCAAAGCACCCAGCTGGCCTGCTTCATAATCCGCGTGATATTTCGACCGTAAACTACACTCGGTAACCCGAGGAACATAGATCGGACAATTTTTTCTGTGGACTCTTTTCTCTGTACTCTCATTGTTCTCATAGTTCACAAGCTAGAGGCACGATAGTGACATCATTCCCATAAATCTCATCGTTAAAGTCAAGATATCACGTTTCAAAGATTCTGTCTGCACAACCAAAAATCAGTTATCGTGAAGAACGAATTTACTAATTCGTGGCAGCTTCCTTGAATAATCCTTTGACGTGTATCATCAGGCATTAGCTTAGCTTAGATCTGTAGAAATTACAATTATGTGATATTTGAGTAGATAAACATCAGATCTCTTCCATTTTCTTATACATGTAATTAATTTAATAAGAATTCATTTCTCTATTTTGTTTTGTTCACACTTTTGTCCTGCCCATTGAACTAACGTATGTAATTTGTTTACAAATCTATTGTCTGTTTGCTTTCTTTGCCAATACATACAGATTTTTTCTAATCCGTTATGGAACTAAAAAATATCTTTTCCTCCTACGTTTGAAAACATCTTGAAATAAATGTTGAGCTATTCCTCGATCCCGCTCTTTGGGGTTTTCGAAAAATCGTACATGTGGATATAGTGAGCTATCCTTCATCAGCAAGATCTTGACTTCACAAGAATAAATCCTCTTGGACAATTACTGTGTTATTGTGATCCTTTCTAACTCTTCCTCAACAAAAGACTTTGAACGTGACTACAAGACATTCTCTGAACAGAACCATCATTTAATACATAGAGTAACAGACAAATTAGTTTCGAAACTCTCATTATGCAACAAGTAGCTCTAATACATCAAGTATCTACTTCAACAATCCTATACATTACAGGAACTCGGCAACGGAGGCCCCCAGGAAAGAGACTGGAAAGGAATCGGTACCGCCTTACTCGTCATCATGTTTATCTGTTCTCTAATAGCTTTAGCCGTATTTTTATTTACTCCGAGTAAGTTTATTTTGCTGAAGCAGTTATTTATACTCTGACATAAATAGAACTTTTCATTCAAAGTTACAAAAATACTTCTAAGTTCTGGCTTTGAAAAGCTATTGGAAAACAGTCTACATTTTGTTATGCTCCAGATAGGTTCCAAACTGAATTTCAGACTCGATCGTAATACCTCTGCAGAGCAGAGTTGCACTATAATCAAACCATAGCGAGTAAGGAAAAATTAAGGAGAGAGGGGGTGGGGTCAAATAAAATAATGGGTCAAAGACGATGCGAGAAAGTTAGGGCTGTAGAACTCCATTTACAAAAGGCAGGGGGCGTGAGATCACTTTACAATTTTCAACTTGGGCTCAGATCAGTTCAACTCCTCAAAAAAATTTCACTGGGGCCAGAAAACTTTTGTAAAGAGAGTAAGTTAGGAAATCCAAGTTACGCTACAGCTAGAAATCACCCGACTGAAGATTTTTTTAGATAATCAGGTAGCGTTATCATTGATTACACAGCAGCTTCAAAATCCGTCCAAGCCAATTGAAATGAATTGAATCGAATTTAGTGACCGCGAGCGTTGGACCCTCAAAAATGAGCGTGAATGTGTCAACGATGGGGCTGATTCGATCGCCAATCACCAATGCGTACTTCCATGGTAAAGATATAGTCTACGAGTATTTGGCAATGAGAAGAGAGATCATGAAGCGTTTGAACCTGGATACCATGGAGGCAGAGACAATTCTCGACCAAGAGGTCTTGGTAAGCTTGAGTTTTTTTACGAAAGTTTTATTTGTGTAAAACAAAATTCTCCGCTATCAGAAAATTATTGTAGGAGGAACAAGCAAAAGAGAAATGTGTTAACAAAAATATTCAGACGGAGTGGTGTAGATTAGAACAAATAATGGTAGGCATCAATTATCCATGTTCTTTTCACTTTCTTCTAGTCTGGCTTTTCTTTCCTATCTTACATCGAGTATGTGGATTACTTTCATCAAAGAAATCATAAAATCTTTTAAAATCTTCTACTTCAAATTTCATTCTAGATTGATTTAGCCATTAGCTCTGAACTTTTGTATGAATGCTATAGTTAATGCAAATTTCTTCAACTTCTGACTCAATGTAGACCTCTTATACGCCTTATATGCTCAAGTACTGTGTTTTTATCCAAAAACAAAGATTTGTATAGTTGGATATCTTGATAGACGATCACTTGTCCGTAACATTTAGCATAGGCAAACTTTACCTTTGCCGTCAGCACTGTCAGATTCTAAGGTCTGTATTGAAACTTGCAGTTGTACTTTTTGACTTGAACGATGGAAGCAGATACTAACAATAAGTTTACCTGAAATCGCTTATGCAAGATCTGCCACTCGACAAGGTTCCATCCAGTTTATGTATATTCCACAATACCGTAAATTGTGAAAAAAATTGGCCATTGTCAGATTCGCCGAACATTTGGGCTGGCCATCTTAAGCACAAGTTATACATCATTGTTCCTTGTCACTGCATCAAAGGAACAAAAGATCATCTTTCCCTTCTTTTCAGCAGGATTGGTTTTGAGATTTCTTATGCAAGAGTTATGGGCCATAATTTACAGTTGATAAGGTATTTTGCAACTTCCTTTACATGTTTTTATTTAGGCAGGTTACGACCGAGAAGAAGCGTCACATGACCTGAGATATTTTGCTTTTAGCAGAAAACTTACAGATGAGGTACGATCGTCTTATTAAACTTCGACATGCCTTGGCTCTTAGTTTCTTTTAGGAAGCAAGGCAATTTAACTCTACTTCTCCTCGATCAATTTTCGATAGAGAAACTTCGTAAGTTTGAGAATGTCAATTTTTCGAATGAAATGAAGAGCTATAGGCTGATATACAAAGTCGGAGTGGCAAAAACAGATGATGAATCTCAACGATTTCTCATATGGAATCCTGTTGGAAACGATTACGTTAGTTTGAAGCTTGCTAAAATTATGGAGAGGAACATTTATATTTTACTTTTTCATAGGTTTTCTGGCAAGATGGAAATCTTTTCTACTCGAACTCTGTCGAATCTGCAGAATCTATACAAATTACAACTTCGAACCCAAATTTGATACATGGTATTTTCGACTGGATGTACAAAGAGGAGATTTACGAGAGGAACGATATAGTGAGTATATTAAAGAAGACTTAGAACATTCACGACAATACGACTCACCGGTGGGTCGTACGTGTCCTGCCATTTCGGACAATACGACCCACGGGCGAGTCGTATTGTCATTTCTGAAGTTTTTGAGTTTGCTAGTTCACGGTGAAACGTTTTAGGCAAACCGAGTAAACTTCTCTATACAGCTCTTGGAGTACTTCCCAAAAGATTAGCACTTCAGACCCATCAGTGACCTGAAAATATCACGCAAACTCAATTTTGCGAATTAGTTCTGGTCCGAAATCGCAGTCATCGAAAAATCGGCCCCGTCGAATGTGTTAAAGCTGTGTTTGATGGGCAGAAATAGTTACGACAAAATGAAGACTCAAAATTGGCTGTATTATACGCAAATCCAAACAAAACCAGCCAAAAAAAACATCGCGAAAACCGCATTTCAAATTATTTTTGTTGGGCCCAGAAATTCCCCTAATTCAAACACTGAATTTATAGCATACATAATATAGACGCGAAAAAAATGTGAAAGAAAACAGGCACTTGATGACCCTAATAATTGAAATTACTTTTCAGGCAGTTTTTTGGTCACAAAAAGGTGAACAGCTCGCTTTTCACAGTCGTGTTCTTAACCCGAAGGAAAAGAAGGTCCACATGACAAGGTTGGTTTATAAGCCACAGGTGTCGATTTCATTACAGAATGTTATGGAAGTGTTACAGCTATGCTGCCGGAAATAAATATCCAACAATCGTGGAGTTGGCCTATCCGAAAACGCATGAGAGAAATCTGCCGACGTACATTATAAATATTTGGGACAAAAAGACTCGTGTACTGAAGCAAATGGATATCCAACTGAGAGATAGCACGTTAGTGATGAGATGCGATAATGCTAAATTGAGAGATTTCGCGTTTCAGAGCGTTTCATTATATATTCCGAGCCAAATGGATAGTTATGGATGAGAAAGAATATCTAGCAGTAACATTTGCTGACAGACTTCAGACGCAAATCTCTATAACCATCTGCGATCACAAATCGGGAATGTGCAAATTGGTAGGTGATTAGAAGGAAATTAACAAGTTTTGTGTAGTTTAGCTCCTCAATTAATGTCATTTTAGGTCTACGAGCATAAATATCCGCATAAGATGTATGCTGAGCCAGGCGATTTCGATAGTCTTTACAGCAATGATTCACTCTATATCCTTTTACCCAGGGCAAAAAATGATGGGAACAGCTATCAACACATAGCAAAGCTAATAATAAAGGTAAATGCCACCTGAACATAACCTTAGGTCAATTTGTGGTAGCATTTCCAGGGCCCGACTGGTATTCAAACAGCAAAAGAAGCATTTTTATCGTTAGGGAGATTTGACGTCAAAAATCTTGTCGCATACGACAAAGTCACGGACACTGTGTAAGTATTGAAATAATGAGCTATCCATAGATCAACTTGTTTATCTATTCTCAAAGGTGAATATTGTAGTATGAAGGCTAGTTCTTGCACGTTCCATTGAGTTTTTAACTATTTGCTCAAGTTTACGGCGCTTGCGTTCTGTAATTTGGACTTCTGCCTCAGTAAGCGAAAAAATTACGACAAAATTACGTATCTTATGTAAAAAGCTGAATGTCTGTTTGTCTGTCTGTCTGTCTGTGGCCCGTAGTAAAACCCCATCCGGGCATCTCTCTCGACGCGGACCGGAGTTGAGGTCATCGCGCTTCAGTCTAGCATCCAGTGAGCTATTGATTTGGATGTGGATCGCTTCCTAGACATGATAACCACATGTGTTCTCAAAAAACAACCACTTGAGCTGGTCTGGTCAAACGGATAAGCGATTGGAATCACACGCGCGCGGTCGTGGTTCGACACCGGCTAGCGCCACAACTTTTGCTGCATCGCCAGACAATCTTTGATAGCGGCCACTGTCGAAAAAAATCGATGATGGCCGCTAACAAGGATATCACTTAGCAAATGGACAGATAAAACAAAACTGACATATTTTGACGGAGAATTCATGAAAAACTGAAATTTTTGGAACATAAATAAAACGTAATAAATAAGTAGATTCTCTTCTAAAGTAGTTTTTACAAGAAATTAAATTGCTCTGCAAAAAAAGAAGAAAACTTTTATCCTTGCTTTTGTCGCCAAAATCAGCTGTTCATCGATCCTTCCCTTTTCGGGCGCCGGTATTGTGCAGTTTTGCGCCGATTTTTTCTGCATTTTTTGGCAAAGTTGTGTGTATCGTAAGTTACTCAGGAGCAACTTATGTTAGATGCAGTCACCTCTTGTCTGCGTCTCCTCTTCTGCACACTATTTGGATCACTCTAACATCCGTTCACGTTGAGGTGACTTGAACGTGAACTGATGTGGAAGAGTTGACTGCGGCAGGTGGACAGATGGTCAACTATAAGTTGACTTGACCATCTTATAGCATGGGAACGTGGACGGTGATCAGTTCACCTCACCTAAGGTGAACTGATGGGATAAGTTGAGTTCACCTCAACTGATCGAGCTTTGGTACGGGCCTGTGTGTACATATGTCCCGAATAGAAGATTTCATTTCTGAACCAATCCGGACCAAACTTGGCACACATACATTTCAAAGTGGGGCGGGTGTCGTAGACTACTCTTCGTCATTGATCGATATCGACTTCATCGATTTTTGTTGTAAAGCTTGAGCTATGGGCTGGAAGTGGGCCCAGGAGCGTATTCGAGCATGCTGATTACGAATGCAATAATAGTTTTTATAACTATCCATTACTTTTATCGATTTTATCGATTTTTTGCAAAGTGCGTGTAGAAGGGAGAAGATTTATATTATAATTATAATCAAAATATACTGAAGTCATCAATTCAGTGAAATCATCTTCACTTTTTTGCATTTTTTATTTGCTTTTTTGGTAAATTTGGTTTTCTTTTTTATCGCTTTCACAGTTACTTCCACGCCATAGCTCCAACACCAAACAACCTGCATCTGTACAGCACACCAGGCTCGCCAGTAAGCTTAGCCATCAACTTGTTTGTCTGTATCACCATCATACTGCTGGTCCACTTTCTTTCAGACCACGACTGATGCTTGGAAATGTTTGACGTGCATGTTCCCCAATTGCACATATCAGGAAACCAAAGTGCAATCCAGTTTCGAGCATATCCTTATACACTGCAAAGTTGTCAAAAATTCAAACCAATAAAATTGTCGTACTTCGAATTTTACTTTTAGGGTCCAGCCCATCATCATTTTTATCTTGCCGATATAATCGATGGAAGAGCTGAGAACTGTGAGGCTATACTACTCCGGAATTTCAACAAATCATTTTACATAACTTCAGGGCAAGAGATCTTATACAGCCAGGAATATGAGGACAACGTGGGTTCGGTACGATTGCCGTACGTCATAAGCGAGGTGGTGCCACTGGGACAGGGATTTGGTATGAAAATAGCGTGACTAATTATTTTAGACTTGTTTTTCGGTTTGCTTGTGCTTATTTCTTGATGTTTTCAAAATTTCAACATATAACCTGACTTTCTAACACTGTTATTGTTTCAGAAGGTCTGGTGAGAATCGTACTCCCTCCTGATCAGCCGTCACGCGCGAGTGCAAGGTCGATACCAGTTATGTTGAAAGTGTAAGTTAGTTCAACGAGTCAATTTTAGTCATATCCTACTTATCACAAGTGTCGCGGAGGATTGCGCCCTCAGCTTCAGCTCTTAGTAATTGCAACATCGTTGGCGTACCAGACGGTCCATTCGCGAAGTGGAAACGTTGAGTAGTAGCTGTGCTTGCGTAGTGGTATCATCCCCTTCCACGACACAATTACGCTATTTAATTTAGCGGTCTTACGCTACTAATTTTCATTTTCCATTCACTGGCTGTCTGCCTTCTCGAGCTGCTCACACTGTTAATGCCTATGGTTTGTCACTGGGCAGTACCCGGAATGTGTCTTGCTATCCTACTTATGGAATCCTCAAGACACTAAAGTTACCATGAACATCAAGCATAGAGTACGGAATCACAGCCTCACTTGTGGCCTGCCATGTCTATCGATGATGTTACACCCACCAATCATTCTAAACCTACCATTACAAGTCATAATGGGATGAGAACACATCGGCCAGCTGTTACCAGAAGCCAGCGCAATCCAAAAACTCCCAAGGCTGATCCAACTTGCGTCAGGCGTGTAACCTGTGTACCCCATCTAGCCTCCTCGTGGTGCCACAGCGGGGGTCTTTTTGGATTTCGCATGAAGAAACGCGGCTGATCGATTGATGTTGCTGGCGGAAAATGGAAGCCGCTTACAAGTAAACAAATATGACGAACTTGACTTTAGTGCAGAGCAAACAGTATATATGTACGTGTCTGTGAGAGGCGGGTCAGCTCGAAGATTGAATGCTTTACGACCTTGTGCTGACGGTGGAATCTCTTGGAGCATCGCGCAATTTAGGGCCATATATAGCAACCATTTGCCGATGTTGCCTTAGCAAACAGTTACCTCTACATTAAAAATTGTGGATGCAAAGCTGCTTTGGTATACACCAAGCTGGTACCACAACGGGTATAACTGTTTATTAGATAGTAGCGGAGCAGCCGCTGACTATTAACAGTGAATATGCGTAACAGCCGCTGACGATAGTGGTATTAATCGAACCAACACCAGAACTGAGTATTCAGGCCCTTTTATGCCACTATTTTGGGCGTGGATAACCTGAATGCTCACTTCTGGTAAACAATAGTATCATACAGCATGAAGGATTGCCTACATGAAAGTAGGCGCCGCCAAGTAGACTATCAAGCACAGCGGAGGGGTGACCTGGCGGCTTAAGTGGTCAGTGAACAATAAGGTTTGTCAACGACAAGCTAACAGATATGCTAAATATAACATACACGGTAGATCTACAATGCTAAAGGTTGTAGATTATTTGGATAATCTACGACAGTGGGGCGCGCGACGGAAGGCGCGTAAGCAAGAAAATATAAATCGCAAAGTTACACGTAGTACAAAAGTTCATCACAACATTAGCTAAGTCACGTATATCACATGATTTCTGTAACGGGTTCGTTGTCTTCGTCTGGGATTCGTAAGGTGGTCGGCGCCTCAGTAGAAAGAAATGCATCAAGATCGGTCATAAGCCTTTCTCGTTCTGAGGCAAACACAGTAACGGAATGCAATGTCTTCATAGCCGACAAAATGGCGGAAATCGACGAAATACAGATTTCTCTCACGTGTTTGCTAGAAAACCTGGAGGTCCGCATGCAAAATGCCATGACTTTCATTGGAGCCAAGAAGGACCAATCAGAGAGGGAAAAGCTGATGAATGATCTAGATTCCTTCTTAACAACCGAAGCTCATCGTGTACAACTAGAAGCAATACACTGGACAAGCAAGTTGAAGTATCGGATGAGGGAACTTGAGAAACAGTCAAGCCTGATAGACAATCTCGCTTCTTCAACGGCCCAGACTCCACCACAAGATACGGATGCAGCTAGTACTCTCTCCGCCAGACAATATAGCGAGAACAAGATACGACTACCGCAGCTTGAAGTTCCCACTTTTGATGGCAGCTATAAGGAGTATCCAACTTTCTGGACAATATTCAACTCGCTGATCCATAGCAACCCGCAGCTCAGCAACGTGGACAAGTTCCTTTTCTTGAGGCAGGCATTAAAAGGAACAGCAGCTTCACTTCTTGGCAATATGCCAGTCATCGGAGAGAACTACGACAAAGCTATACTACTTCTCGATAAGCGCTTCAACAAGTCTGGATGCATAGCAGATCTGCTTATCACAGAGCTCGAAAGGCTTCCACGAGCAGAAGAAGACGCCCAAAGTTGTAGAAAAGTTCTGATTAGCGTGACGGAAAAGCTCACTCACATCGAATGTGCAGGCGTACCCTTGGATAACAACCGAATGTGGAGAAGGCTGATACTTTCGAAGTTTCCAAACTCGCTGAACGAGAAGGTGCTTCGAGAAGAGCAGAATGAGCGGAAATCATTCGCAACTGAGGAGATCCTGGACGTTCTTGAAAACGCCGTCGCTCTAAAGGAGACCCTCGCACTAACTACATCCGCATTCGGGGATTGCAACATCACGATACGCTCTGACTCCGACCAAGAAGTTGATGAGAGGCTGAACTACGAAGAAGAATCAATCGCATACACTTCCAAACATAGACAAGGAGTTACATCGCCGAGAGATTTGAGTGCTCAGTGCATTTGCGGAAGTTATCAACATAACGCGACGCGATGCACAACATTCCAAACACCAGCGGAGCGACGTGATGAAGCTAGGAAACAAGGGCTGTGCTTCAAATGTCTTCAAACCGATCACAGGATTAGTGATTGCACCAGCTCACAGTCATGCTACAAGTGTCACGGAAACCATCACACTGCCGTATGCATGGGTAGCTATTTAGCATCTAGAGGCACCCCAACCAGGAGATCACAGCAACGATCTGATTGCGATCAACATCTCCCAAGAGACCCTGAATTTGCACAAAATTCTGAAATTCTCCACAACAAGAGCACTAAACGAGAAGGAGGAATGCAGCACGTACTGATGACGGCGACTGCATTCGCATACGACTACACATCGACCAGCTATAAGCCCATGACTGTCTTCTTTGATGGAGGTGCACAAAAGAGCTTCATCAACACAAGGAAGACCCAAGCTCTTGGCTTACCGGTGCTGCAAAACACCACTTTCAAGATTGGCGGCTTTGGAGGATCTACCGCAAATTTCACATCCAGTGAAGTCCCGCTTACTCTGAGAACAATGTCTGCCGGAGTCGCTGCCAAAGCTGTGAAGATACATACAAAGTCAACACTCACTTCCACAGCTTGGCTAAGCGCAGAGGATAGAAGGTTGATTCGAAAAAGAAAGATTCGAGTAGCACAACCGGATCTGAAGACGCGACGGATCACACCGGACATTCTTATTGGTCAAGATCTAATTGATAAATTCATCTTGAGGGATCGACCATGTACAATTCTTCCGTCTGGGCTTATTCTCACCCCTACTGTTCCCGGCCGATGCACCAATTTGGTATACACCAAGCTGGTACCACAACGGGTATAACTGTTTATTAGATAGTAGCGGAGCAGCCGCTGACTATTAACAGTGAATACAGTTGCAGCGGTGGAATTTGTCCAAAACTGCGGGATTGTCGGGATTCGCGGGATTCGCGACTTCGCGGGATTTGCGGGATTCGCGGGATTTGCGGGATAAGCGGGATTTAGCTATAACTTCTTTTAAAATAGCTTTATTTGTAATCTGAGTGAAGATTTGGCTTCAGCTTGATGAAACGAATCTTTTGATATACGGTATGTCCGTAGTTCATAGTGACGGGGTAGACATACAATGATACCTTGTTGTTTTCTACGTTAAGGCTTTTGTGAACATTTATCACAGTGTGAATCGCGTATAGGAGGTTCTGATACGAAGCTCTCGTTATCGAAAACTATCGCGAAAAATTGGGCAGTTTTTATCTACCCTTATCGCTGATATAAGCATTTTATCATTTATCACTGGTAATAACACATTTTTGGATCATTTTTTGCATATGGTAAGGAAAGTACTGTAGGAAAAGCTGTGTGAATTTCTATCGCTCTTTCTCTCATTATAAGTGATCTACAGGCTTTTCTAGTTCTATTGCTCTGTGCGATTGGTAGATCCCTCGCTGCAGCAATCGATCGATTTTTCATCGGCACATGCCATTGCTGCCAATCTAGAATGGCATTTTTGCCTCAACTCGCTTCACGCCGAAGCCTGGGCTGAAATTCTGCACATATACGGAAGATGAACGTGGAAATCGACCGCATGAATTTAAGCCATTCTTATCTGTCGTTGTCATTGATATCATCATTTTATCATTTATCACTGATGACACAAAATTGGATCATTTTTGATATACAATAAGAAATGTACTTTAAAAAACGCTGTGTGAGTTTTTATCGCTCCATCTCTTATAGTACAAAACCACTCACAGAACATGCAAAATTTCCGGGAATTCCGCGAAATTCATGTGAATCACGCAAATTACGCAGGACCATAACTTTTTTCCGAATGAGTATATTCAAAATCCGAAAACAACGTTGTGTTCAGCTCGTCAAGGCAAATCTTTGGATATACGATTGTCTCCAATATCTTGTTTTCAATTTTCTTGAATTTGCATGCCGACGCCTCTTCGCATGGGTGTAACGCAACAAGCATCACACATAGGAGACTGCCATGGGCACCGTTCGATAGTACTCCTTCACTAGATTATCGTGCGCCAAACAGCAGCCGAAGACTTTCTTTCAAAAGCGATAGAAGAGCTGATAAACTCTGGAAAAATTACGCTGTTTCATGTCTTACTAGCCGTAACTTTCTTTACAATGAACATCTTCGAAATCAGAAAGCAGATTTGTGTTCATCTTGTCAAGTCGAATCTTACTGTATACGGTATGTTCTTGAAGTTCCGTTTTCAATTTTTTCAAAATTTTCTGCGCGCGTATATTCACAAGGTCGCAACGCAGCGCACATCAAACATAAAAGACTCTATTAAGCACTGTTGGATTGTGCTGCTTCCGCAGATTATCGAGCGCTAAGAAGCAACCGGAGAATCGTTTTGAGAAAAGATAGAAGAGCTGGTGAATTTTGGAAAATCGTGTTGTCTCAAATTTTGCCCACAGTGACGCTAAAATGAGAAGCTCTACTGCTAAGCAGATGTGATTTTCGTAATCAGCAGGTCAGATAACCTCTATGAGCAAGTTTTCAAAGAAATTTGTGATTCGATTTTTTCTCGTTCTACGCCCTGAAGCTCGCCGATGGGTTTTGGTCAAAAGTCTTGGATTGTAAAGAAACTTCGCCCAAAGAGGTTTTCGAACACGCTTTTACGAAAATAGTGGTCTTTGAAGAAGACAAGGTCTTTTTGTAGAGATATTGTGAGGTGAGTGTAACTGAGTCACGAAAGTTCGTAAATTTGCCTGCACTTTTCGCGAATTTGTCAGAAAACTAGCCTGCTTGCTTTTCCAAGTCAAAATCAGTGGGAACTGTGCTATCAAAAGGTGCATGCTCAGGCTTTAGTCTATAAAGTTTGCCGAGTTACGAGCCTACGAAAAGACGTCCTCATAATTTTCGCTCAAAATGTAAAAATCGCGTATTTCGTCGAAATTCCGCCCTTAGATCTGAGCTCAAGCTACGAAGGTGCTTGTGTCGAGACGCAGACTAATTAGAGTCCGACAGTCCCCTCGCCGACTGGGCGGTGCCACCAACTTCAGATGAGCTGGCACTCCCCGGGTGCTCGGTGGCCCCTCCCCAATTATGTTCCCTCATATTTATATTTATGTTATAACGATAAAATAATCTAGTCAAAACTGTTATGTTATTACAAAGGAAAGAAACTAAGGGTAGAGGGATCAAGTTAAGAGAATAGCTAACTCTTCAGACTTGACACCTGGATATTCAAATGAGCAGCTGAAGAACGCGCGACCACCATATTCAACTCAATGGGATCCCTTAGGCGAAGTGAGCATATGCAACAGAATGTCATACAACCACTGAGGGCGGAATTTCGACGAAATACGCGATTTTTACATTTTGAGCGAAAATTATGAGGACGTCTTTTCGTAGGCTCGTAACTCGGCAAACTTTATAGACTAAAGCCTGAGCATGCACCTTTTGATAGCACAGTTCCCACTGATTTTGACTTGGAAAAGCAAGCAGGCTAGTTTTCTGACAAATTCGCGAAAAGTGCAGGCAAATTTACGAACTTTCGTGACTCAGTTACACTCACCTCACAATATCTCTACAAAAAGACCTTGTCTTCTTCAAAGACCACTATTTTCGTAAACAGCGTGTTCGAAAACCTCTTTGGGCGAAGTTTCTTTACAATCCAAGTTTCTTTACAACCCAAGACTTTTGACCAAAACCCATCGGCGAGCTT